GTTGGAAAAGCACTGTAGTTAAGCGGACGTACTTCAATCCTTGCCACGCCAGTTAACCAGTTGCCAGGGGGGGGGGCCTCAACTCGGGCCGTAGTAGCCTTGAGCAGCTACAGTACTTCTGTTACATCCTGCAGCACATGCGTTGTGATCATCGCGCTCTCGGAAAAGGCAGCGTTTGTTTTGAATCCTTTTAAATTAAGCCAAATAAGCCACCCATTACATAAGTCTCACCCATTTCTAAAGTTTACCACAGGCAGCTATTATAAGACCTGGTTTGCAACGCTTGGTGACCGAGCATGCATGGAACACAGGGTCAGGGGCCTCACTCGCACATTGGTTTGCCTTGCCGGGCAGATTTGTCGATGACGCTTTCTCCTTCTTTCATCTACTCTGTTGCTCTCTTGCCCAGGTCGACGGCAACCTGTTTGGCATGTTTGTGGAGGAGGTAGCCTGCGGCATGCGCCACGTGGTGGTTGTTGCTAGCAAAGTGCAGGTAAGTAGCTTGAGCGATAGAGGTAAGAGGAGGACGACGGCATCATGGAACCGCAATCATCCCTGGGAAGGATAAGGGCGGATCCACCAAGGGGCCCTGTGAGGGTTGGGATGGGACGACGCCGCACGAGGGTTGGGGCGGCGTTCTGCGGGTCTGGGGCAACGGGCGACACATGTACTGCTACTACTTTGCGGTGCGGCCGGTGCCTTCCCGGCGCCTAATAATGGCTACTTCTTTCCGACAGCAATATTAAGGCAGGAAAGGAGGATTGCATCCTGCCGTAATGCAGGATGCAATGACAACAATGTGCGTGCGCCTGTGCTCCTTCCTGTGTGCAACCTTTGCTTCGTCTGTGTCTGTGCAGGCGAATGGCCAGATTCCTGACGACCAGCGACGGGTGCGGTTGCTGGCGTGGGGCTGCGGTGCTGAGGGACAACTCGGGTTGTGGGGCATGACCACATCTTCGGATGCGCCGGTGGCGGTTCGTACATCCCAGAATGACCACTCGCTTCCGCAGGTACGTCGGTCAGTCCGTCTGTCCGTCCGTCAGTCAGTCAATCAAGACACGCGACATTGCCTGATGACCCTCTGGCACGTCGTCCTCTGCCGGTTTAAAGCAGATAAGCAGTTAGCAAAAGAAGGCCGATGATGGGGACCTGGAGCTGCTGTTATGTTACCCCCGTTGTTATGTTACCATCCGAAGAGCACTCGCAGGGCCGCGGTCATGACGCCAGTTTTGGTGACGAGGTTTTCACTCTGGTGGCGCCGGTCGCCGCACATGGCTCCTTACGATTACGTGCGCCCGTTTTCGCTTCTAAGTCTAGCCATTAGGGGCTTTGGGACCCACAAATCGAGGAAGCTCTATAATTGGGTACATCTCATGCCGAAAATGGGAAATCTGCGTCGAAATGCCGCGGCTTGATCGCAGATGGTGATAGTAACATACTTAAAGACTCCAAATTCCCCAGCGCCTTGGTTCTACTCGCTCGGGTACTATTTTCCCGCTGTGCTTTTCACTCTTTCTGGCCTACCTGCCTGTCACCATCCGCGTTCAAGCCGTTCCATTTATTGTGGGACAGCGTTCTGTTTTCCAATGAATTCCGCCGCCGCCTTCATGTGTTTTAACCCATCCAGATTGTTGGTGCTCTGGACGGACGACGCGTGCTGCACATCGCCGCCGGGGGGAACCTCACCATGGCGGTGATGGAGCACGACCCACGCACCAGGCGCTCCAATCCCGGCCCTTCATTGACGGCCGCGCCCTCAAACCACTTCGGCGGGTCCATTTCCTCCACTCCCTCCGCCGGCGGCGCACAGTCGCGCTCCACGTCGGTCGCATCCTACCAATCCGTGGTCGGCGCCGTCGCCACTGGCGTCCGCGACGCCGGCAGCGCCGCGGCCTTCCAGCTCTCGCAGTCCCTGCCCATCACTGTGGCCGCGGCGGGGTTGCAGTCACTACAGCAAATGGTGACGGGCGGCTCCGGGCCGAGGTCCAAGGGCGGCAGCACGCCGACCGCGGCGCCGGATGTGTCCTACCTGTACCGCAGGCGGCAAAGTCGCGTGGTTGGCATTCCGCAGCTGACCGTTGGGCAACCGCGCAGCGACCACCATCACCACCGCCACCGCTCCGATCTGCGGCGTAGCACAACGCGCCTGCTGGCGAGCTATCACGGGGGACTGCGAGGGCATGCATCGCAGAAGGCCTTGCCGTTGGAAAGCCAGGAGGGCCAGGTGTGTGTGGGGTTCGGTGGGCAGTGGCGGGATGTATCGGCGCTCGAGGGGGTGTTCTGTGTGTTTAGGTGTGCATGTGTGTCGATGTGTGCGTTGCGTTAAACGTGTGAGGTGCCTGCGCCAGGCCGAGGCCATGGGATCGTCATCGTGTTGGACGAGATGTGGGTCATTCAGTTTGAAATTGTGTCAAGAGAGCTGCTATCCAATCCTCATACCTCCTGATCCTAGCTATCAGCAGGATTAGAATAGCGAATAGCTATCATCAGGATTAGAATAGCGAATAGCTATCATCAGGATTAGAATAGCGAATAGCTATCATCAGGATTAGAATAGCGAATAGCTATCATCAGGATTAGAATAGCGGATATCCCCTATCGCATAGGGACCTCCTGGGAGTTGTGGGAGGTGTGGGGAGGCGTTTAGGGTTTGATTATTATCGTGATAGGGATCTTGTGGGGGGACTGTATGAAAGCTATAGACCGCCATGGTTGACGCGTGTTGTGTGATTGTGGCAGCCGGCCCGCACGGCCCAGGTTGCACTGCTTAGGTGCACCGGTTATCCATCGCCCATGGAGCATGTGTGTCACCACGCGCACGCGGCTCGCGTCCGGTCTTCTCTCACTGTTCGTGCAGGGGTTGGAAGCAGGTACCAGCGCTGGCAGCGGCATTGTGAGTCAGCGGTCAAGCTCGGGTATGGGACAGCCATCGGAAGATATTGACAGCAGGTGGGTTGGTCGGTGGACAAGTATCTAAGACGCTTTGAGGACGGGCAGTCAAGATATTTCGACGATCCTACCAGGCATTTACAATCTATACATCTACTTATATGTTTACTTCTAATGTATGAGATGTGAACACTGCCCTTTTCTATTTAAGGCGGCTTAGGATGAGGAGTTAATGTTTCCTCTGACCTGAAATGATTTTGCCCTTCACTGCCCTTATTGATATCGGCTTCGTGGGGTTGTGCCGATTGTGTCTTCCCGCCCTTGCTGACACTCTGGACTTGATATTCCGCATAGTAGGTCGACCAGTCCCACGACCAGCAGTGCGCTGTACGGCGTGAACAGCGCAGACGGCGACTTCCACATGAGTCGCCACCTGCACGGTACTGCCATAGAGGTCCGCCAGCGCGCCAACTCCATGGGCACCGTCGCGAACGGCAGCAGCACCGCTCTCGCAACGGCCCCCGCGCCGCCCTTTGGCCGGGCACTAGCGCGCCGCGGCAGCTCTGGAAACGCGGCTGATGCCCAGTCGCTGGGCGGCACCAGCACCGGGGACACGCCGGAGACGGACACGGACTCGTATGCACACGGCGGCAGGAGCTTGGACATGGTTCCGGAGCAGGTGAGGAGAGGCCGCCGCCAGGGTAAGAGCAGACGTGTACGGCACATGTGTGGTGTGGTGAGCACGTGTGTCCTGTTGGCGAGAGAGAGAGAGCGCACAGTGGGCGGATTTTCGGACTGATGGACTCTTCACTCTTGCGTCATTTATTTGCGTAGATGACGGTGGCTGCGTGATGTCTGCGTGTGCGTGGTTTCATTGTATGTTGCTCTTGGCTCTCGCCTTTTTCTTTCCCTCTCAGATGAAGTCGCCAACGGGGCCAGCAGCGTTGCCGCCACGACTAAGCAGGCTTGCGCAGCAGACGCCTGGCAGTGGGGCAGTAATCGCTGCCGCACGGGACGACAGGCTGGCCGAGGCCGTGGGGTCATCTGTCTCCACCATGGATTCCTCCTACACTGCTGAGGCCAGCGTCAGCAGCGAGCTCTCACCCTCGGGAATCGTCACAACAAGCCCTGGTAAGGATTCCTCGGGCCACAGGGTGGTTTCGGAGCTGCCACTTGGGAACTCCAGGGCATTAACATGGCAGGCTTCTGGGTACGCGGGATCCATATCCTCCTCGGGACGCGGCGTTACACACGCCAGGGCTTCTACTCCAAAGGCCTTTAAGGCCTGGCACTTAAAGGCGTCGCGTCCAAGGAGAACATGAAATCCGTGCGCGAGCAAGAGGGGGGATATGAGTTGGGCGAGCTGGATGAGTGAGGGATGCATCTGGGTCGGCTCTCGTCAAGGCTGCGCTAGGTGATGTCCCAAATGGGCGGTGATACCGGGGGAGGCTTTTGGGATCTCCAACGCTTGTGGCCTGTAGGTCACAGCAAAGCTCTACCCCTTGCCGTCTTATGCGCCGGCTTTTGCTTTTTCGATTATCTCTGGTTGACTTAAGAACACGGGGCCGGCTATTTCGCTGACGTGGTTTTCTTCTTTGCTTGTCCCTCTCTTACGAATCGCGCATCTTGGGGAAACCCCTGCGGTTCTGCTGTCTGTCCTTACTCGAATGCCCTGCTCGCTGCTGGTGGCGCTACCGGAGACGGCCGTAAGTCTATGGTGGTTCCCTCGCTTGCAGGCATGCCTCATGGTGTGCAGCTGCCCTACACAATTTCTGAGGCGCTGCCGCCCATCTCACCACCGGCGCCACAGCAGCAGCATCTGCCTTTCGCCGCTCACCACACAATGCCGCCCCCGCAGCAGCAGTACCAGCCCCAACCTCAACACCAGCCCCAATATCAACACCAGTACCAACTCCAGCAGCATCAACATCCACTCCAGCCTCAACACCAGCAGCTCACAACTTTGCAAGCTAGCACTTTGCCGCCGCCGCAGCAGCAGCCCCAACAGCCACAAGCGTGGCATACCTCCCTAGGGCCGATTCTGACGACTCAGGAGCCTATGGCCAGGGCGCAGGTAGCGGCGATGGCGGCTGGCGGCCCCGGGCCCGGCCCTTCCGGTCCTGGCAACAGCACGGGACGCAGCAGGGAGAGCAGCGCTTCCATGTGGGCTCCACCGCTGCCAATAGCAGTTGGGGGAGTTGCAAGCGGTCACGGCGCCATGCGTGCGTACGGCGTGCACTCCGACGGCGCAGCGGCAGCGGTCGCCAACGCCGCCGTCGCCGTCGCTGGGCCCCATGCTGCTGCTGTGAACATGCCCGTTGGGCCAGGCTTGCATTCGGGCGGCTCACGAGGTTCGCGTGGACATTCCCGCCATGCGTCGTACGACAGCATTGACGTAAACTCGAGGGACGGTGACGGCGTCAGCCAACGCGGTAACAGCGGGGGTGTCGGCGGCGGTGCTGCCGTGGACGCACGTGCAACACCGTTTGTGTTGTACGGCGGCGGTGCCGCAGCCACCGCGCCGCCGCCACCTGCGCCGCTGCAGCGGATTGCCGCCGACCCAACCTCTGACTTGTTGCAGCAGAATTTGCAGCTCCAAAGGGAGTTGGAGCTCTTAAGACAGCAAGTGGCGCTATTCACTCAAGTGACGGGGCTGGCCCCCGCCGCTCTTGCGGCTGCCGGCATGTCGCCGACAAACACCTATGGGCCGAGGCGGCGTCGGGCTCGAACAGCACGCCGGATAGACAGCAGGTTGTTCGGATGGGTTTCTTCGGGCCTGACCACTTGTTTGACCTACGTTACAAGAAGTGGTAATTTCGCATTCACGGCATTCGTTAGGGCGCAGGCGGGTAGGTCTGATGCTGAAATCGTCTTCCCGCTGTTCAGCGGCCGCGTGTGAGCTGTACCGTTCAGCGCCTCGCCAGGGGGCCCGCAGCGCCGACAGGAGCGCAATTAATACCGTTTTTTGTCCGTTCGGCGTCCGCGTTCCCCGCTGAAGCTGCCTTCGTTGCGCAGAAGCCGCCGCGCTTCATGTAGCTCACCCTTCCTATTTGACCCTATCTAACCCTTTTAAAACCGTGGGTGGCCACTTCAGGGGAGTCTTGTGGCTGTGGCAGGGCCAGGGGCTCCTCCAGGGCCCATGTCAGCGCCGCCGTCGTCCAATCGCCACAAGCGGTCTGCTTCGATTGACGTGTCCTCCCTGATTGCGACGCGGGACGGCATAGGGCCCGCGAAGGACTACCTGGCGCCAGCGGCCTCACAGTCGCTGGCGGCTGCCAGCCATGCGCCTCAGGGCCACCTGTCGCCGGAACGTCGGTCGCCCCTGGCGCGAGATGGCGGCACTGGCACCGGCACTGGCACTGGCAATTTCATAATGGGACATAAGACCGCACCGCCGGCGTTGGAGGCCTTGCGCCAGAATCACCCCGGCATGTCGTTGGCCCAAGCGGTGAGAGACTACGGTGTGGTGGATGGATGTCGTTCATGAGAGGAAAGATGACTTTCAACCCCCCGAAATTGAAAACTAAGGAATAGTCAAGGAGTCGAGCGTGTGGTGGCAGGGTGTGGCATTGCTAAAATGTTATTGCGCTCTGTGTTACCACAAAAGCTGGGGGATTGAGGAATATTCCCGCGTTTCAATTCCGACGTGGCTGCCTTCCTTCTGCGTGGTAAGGAATATTTGACATCAGGTAACCTGCATGCACCTGCATGCAACGGTAGCGGAGAAGAACGGTGTCCCCCGTCCTCGGACACAGGGCTGGGGGTTCATCGCTTAGATGTGTTTCGCATGGCCTTCCCTCACGCCCTGCCCTGTCTTCTTCTAATGCACGCTTCCTATTAACATGCCGACTGTCATGTCTTAGGCTTTGGCGGAGTTTGAGGAGGAGGTGTTGGAAGAGGGGTATGATGAGGACGACGAGGAGCCTGAAGACGACGAGGATGGCGACGGGGGGGAGATGGAGCCGGCCGTGGACGAGTCGTTGAATTCCGCAGCCGGCATTGATAGGCTGGGCTCCGTCATCTTGTCTGTGGCGCTGCCGCTGGCGGCGCAGGGCTCCCTGCATCGGCAGATGTACGTGTCACAGCAGCAGCGGCCGCCGCTGACGATGACGCCCACGCAGCCCCAGCAGCCCCAGCAGCCCCAGCAGCAGGCACCAGCGGCGGGCTGCAGTCCTCCAAACCACATTGGCCATGTCCCATACGAGGTGAGCTAAAGCACTGCGCGACGGTTACCTTCTCTCGTTGCCTCACTAGCTGTCGTACCGTACCCGTCGCATACCGTTGCAGCGATATTGACAGAGTGTATAGACTGTAACCATTTGACGGCTAATGCTGATTTCATGGCCCGTTGTTCTTGTCCCGCGCCCATTCTTCTTTATCCCACAGCCTCAGTACTCGAACGAGCCGTCTCTAAGTTCCATTCCGTCTCCGACCAAGGACGGCCTGGTCCGCCCCACCTCCGAGACCTCCTACCCTTCGTCTACCAGTGGTGAGGGCAGTGGGTGCTTGGAGAGCGCTGCGGGGCCGGCGTCTGGGCCCGTACCAGCTTTCCCCGCCGTGCAGGAAGCAAACGGCAGCCTGGCCGCTGCTGCCGCCTCCGCTGGTGTTGGCGGGGGCGGGGGCAAGGGTGGGGCCCGGGGCGGGGGGGGGGCCGGGGCCCCGATCTGGCGGCGGCGAAACGCGTTTGTGGAGTGGGCGAACACGATGCATCACGAAATGGTGGTTGAAGAGCAGCCGCCTGGCGGAAGCAGCGCGAGTGGTGGCGGTGGCGGTGGCAGTGGCAACGGTAGCGGCAGTGGTGTCCCTGGCGGAGGTATGCCTGGACATGGCAACACGGTGGCAGGCGGGGCAGGCGGCACAGAGCAGCACGCGTCATCATCATCGGGCTACAATGTTCCCTTGGCGCTTGCGGCGGACACGCTGCCACCGGAGGGTGTGCAGTTCCAGTATGCGCCGGTAGGAGGCCTTGGAGGGTGCCCTTGGTGGGGAGCGCGG